CCAAGAGTAACATCATGAAACTTATTATACTATAACTACACAAGAATGACATGTCTTATATCATGTATAATGATCCATGGACACGAAATAAATGAAATGAAATGAAACTGTTGGTCTCAGTGCAAGGACCAAGAAGGCCCACCCATTATACATTCATTCATTCATATAGCAAAAGTTCAACCAAGATAAACTTTGCATCTGCACAGATTAATACTATCATCATTAACTCTTCTTCTAGTTGAAAGAGCTACAGGAGATGGTAGAACAGTTTATCTGCCACTGGCGTGAAGAATTTCCAGTGTGGATTATGGGTAAATTCAGCTGTTTTTCATTACATCTAGCCATCCTCAGGACACTTGAGAAAAAAATATCACTTACTGGACATATTCTAAGCAGCTTAGTGTAAAGTTGGTACTCATATGAAAACCGGCGCAACCAAATTCATTCTCACTTGATGTAAAATACATTTGTAAATCTATGACACTTTGAATACCAAACTTACATGTCACTAGTGATTAACACATAAATTTAGGACTCAGAGTGTTCTAATTGTGGCATACTGCATAGGATTCTTTTCCTAAATGTCATAAAACTTACTGAAAATATTTGTCACATTCTAGAAAAACTTCAGTGACTATTACCCAGGCGTTGAGAATGAGCTGTTCTCTGTGCATATAGCAATATCACAAGTTGCCACCAGCTGGCAGCCGGCAGCAGCGGCCAAACCTTGCACTACAGCTATGACTGGAACAGGACACTGCATGATCCCTAGCATTAGACGAGAGCATGTGGAGAACACCTGGTTATGGTGCTCAATGCCTTCCTTGCTGGTCTGCACACAGGAAATGTTTCCAAATATAAAATCTTCAATAGGAATCATGATTATGGTTTTATGGGACGTAATGTGTGATTTGGTAGATCAGTGTTTCATAGAAACCTGCTGCCTCCATCAAATACCCTGAAGACAGAGGCAGCATAAACCATAATCTTGAGTGTCACCACTGTGGGAATCTCAAAGCTCATGTCAGTGAGATGTCGAAAGATCAGTGATCAGTTATTAATCAGATTACAACTAAAGAATGCAAACTTCATTACAAAGCATAATGTATGATCATGATACTAATCCATAAGCATGTACTCACCAACTCCTTAAGATTGTGGCCAGCTGAAAATACTTTTCCTTCACCATATAGAACAATGCATCTTAAGGCAGGATCATCTTGGTTAAATGTAATATTACTTATGAGATCTTCCATCATCTGAAGTGAAAGAGCATTCCTACGAAATAAAATTTTACATACATTATATTCACTATGAGAAGCATCATAATAACCAGTAGCCTGCCAAATTTGATTATACTTCAATGTTGCAAAGTTACTTTCTATTTTTATACTTAATTTTAGAAAATATTATCGGCATTTTTATTTCTTCTGTTTTCTTATTGGTCTACAATAAAAAACGCAAGAGTAATTTTTGCTTTGTCATACTGTGCCTGAATGAAGTCATCAGATTGCATGTAATTCTACAATAACAATTTTATGATTAATAAAAAGTAATCATGTTGTTTATGAACAATACAAGGCATGGAATACAACAAAAATAATTCTGAGCCAAGTTAAAGTTTACTCATTAAGGAAGTAAAATCAAATACCTTGTTTTCTGGTTGGACATAATGATTTTCCGTACTCCATCAAGTTGACTTGTCTTTGTCAGTGGTTCAGTAAATATACTCGTATGTGAACTGTGTGTATGTGTAAAATTACGTTTTGGAGGAGTTCCACGAATTCTGGAAACCTTTCACAGAAAGATAATGGAACACAACACGATTAAACTCATTTTTAAACTGTATTTGTGGGCAGAAACCTGACATTTTTTTTATACAAATATTAGGTTATGGTAAGAGAGGATATTTTTAACAAAGTTACAAACAGAATCAGACATACTGTGCTAGGAACTGGCTACGTATTTCATAGAATAGGTTATAGTGTTTCATGTGCAAGGGAACCATGGGTGTGTTATTCGGATGTAACAAAAATGTGCTTTGTACAAACATCACTGCATGCAATCACATGATAACCAAATCTTAGGTACTATAATATATGCTAAATGACCTACATGTTTACATACTGACAAAGACATACGACTTGGATTAGACATCACAAAAATTTTCATCAGTAAATTTGCCTGCGCTGACATATGACGTTGCATTAGTATTGATATTTCTTCTTAATTTGTTTATGTAATGTTTATACCCACTCGAATCCTGTTACTATAGCAACCTGTACACGTGAAATGACACCCAATCATCATAGAGATTCAGGTTGCTCAGAGCAACGAAAATGGCAGAAGCGGAAGGTATAGTAAACACGCACGGTGAAATATTTTATAGACTTTTCTCTCGTTGCTGGATCTAAACAGTAAACTAATTCATTAGATAACAAAATTTGTTCATGGTCAGTGTCTTATTTGAGTGGCTGCTGGGATTATCACAGTACTGAGTGATAAATCGTATTGTAATCGTCAGGTGTTGTCTCCTACGCTTGCCTCGGTATAAGTTTAACTAACCGTATCGTCTGCTAATTTTATGTAATTTGTTTCATATTTAAGCCGTGTATTCTGAGTTTAATATTTTTAATGCCCATGTGTAAACATAAAGATGTTTGCCTATTTATTATTTTAAAGTGGTGCGTAGTGAAAGTTATCTAATTCATTGTCCCACGTTATATTCCTGAATGTCATTATCACTAAATAAGGAAACGTGCTGTTATGTGCAATTCGAAAGTGGGAGGCAGTGTAGCAGATTATATTGCGTTTAAGCATTTAAAATTGACCTTTGTTGTTTTCTTGTTTGTTTGAAGAAGGTCATTCAATATTCAGTGAGAATGCCTCTCATTACCATCAAAGTGACGGAAGTATTTATTTTTGATTTGTAAAATGTATTTCTGATGTTATATTTATAATGTAACTTCTCGCGTGTAAATAATTTTGTTTCAAACTGTCGATGATTTACCTGATAGAAAACTCCGATATTAATAAGCATGTAATTTATGTAACCGTTTTGTCAAGTGCAGTATACATCACAATTTTTCTTAATGAGTATGTTGAAATCCTTAAATTACATTCTGTGATATTAAATATATTTGAAAATACTCTGACATGTATAAAAGTAATTGTTTAATATTTTTATGTGTTACTGTGGTTTGTGTTTTATATTAAAATATTCTGGGATGAATGTATTCTGATTACTTTTTTGTGTGCTTTTATCTATATGGTGCAGAAAGCAAGAACTATAAATTAATTTTTATATGATGTAGTGATCCATTTATGTAAAAAATTTCCACTAGTGTAAATTTGATCTATATGTTAAATTTGTCAATATGAACAAAATTCTCACCATGTTCATAATTATTAAGAAGATAAGATTGTTCTGTGTGCCATGACATAAAGACATGGGGGAGTAGAGTTATAGCTCTAAACATTCTTAGGCTCCACAATGGTCAGCTGCTCACTTCAGCTGCTTGTCTGCTAGGGAAATAGCCCTGTTACCCAATCAGTAAGGGACTGGAAAGGTCCAGAATCAGTATGGGCATGGTGAAAAAGTGAAAAATCCATACCTCTCCAAAAAATCAAATCCATATTCAGTCATCATACTGACTGAACTATCCCAATTTAGACAAAAAAAAAAAAAGGTTTCATGCAGAATTAATATGAATATTATGATATACCTCCACATAAAATTTCACATGCTTGTCTCCAATGATTTATTAGTCAATCACTGTCAGATATAAATATAAATATGTATTTCACACTTTAGTAGTATGGTTTTATAGTACCTTACTAAAAGTGGCATATTTTCAAAGATATAATAATACGGGAATGCGCACAATGTGCATAGAGTAATTGTTTTCTATTTGCGACTGTATTCGGTTATTGATGTGGTTAAGTTTTTGCATATGGTAATGTGGTATCTACTGCACTTTTTATCACAGTGTTTACACACACACGCGTCATTTGCTTCGTGGAAACGTTCGTTCTTGCATATCTTGTGGTGGAATCCGTGTGTTGCCAACCTAGTAATTGTGTGTCGTAATTTTCTGTTTTCAAGATTTTCAAAGATATGCTATCAGATAATATTTCAGAACCTTACTGGCTGGTGTTTAACTCTGCCACCAAATTTCACATAGCTGCTGAGTTGGTGTTGTTGACAGTATGGAATTGATAAATGTAAACAAAATGTCTTTGTTGTCATAATATTTATACTAAGCATCATGAAGTTATTCCCAAGAATATAGGATTAGAGGTATCGTGGCAGTGGTTGTGAAGAGTTCTATATTATGGGGTGTAATTCTGTGTAGTCCAGTGAAAGTCAACTGATACTTTCATCTTCTGAGAGTTTTTGTGATTTTTCTTAATTCCTTCAGGCAAACTGTGGGATTGTTACATCCATTTACATTGACCCAATTCATTATTCATGATCATATTTTACCAAATTTGTTACTGCTAAATCGCAGCAACATAAAATAGTTGACTTCTTGATTAACATACACTTCACCCTTCAATGACCATGAATTTACAGTCACAGTAATGATAAGAGAACAGTTTTTGTGGAATGAACAAACAGATGTATAATGTGTGTATTAACTATGATAACATGTTATAATTTCAGATGAAGCTCCGTCCATATTATTGCCCTGTACAATTTGTAACAGAACATTTAAACCAAAATCACTTGAGAAACACAGTAAAATTTGTGAAAAAAATGCAGCCAAGAAGAGGAAAACTTTTGATTCCTCAAAACAAAGAATCCAAGGCTTGGCAGAGTTCCTCCCAGTTATTCCAAAGAAGACCGAGATGTCTCCAATCAGGAAGTCACAATCAGCATGGAAGGAGAAACACCTGGAGTTTGTTAGAGCAGTTCGACAAGCCAGGGGCGTAAGTGAAGGTCATGGAAAGAGAAGTTTACCATCCGCAGTGGCTCAGTCAAGGCCTGCAGTTCATGAGAAATGCCCTCATTGTGAGAGAAATTTTGGACCAAAGGCTTTTGATCGACATATCGAATGGTGCAAGGAACAAAAGGCACGGATCCCAAAATCACCAGCAAGCATCCAAGCAAAGGAAAGGTTGGAAGCAAGAACTAAGGTATATAGAGTGCATTGTGTATATGTGTTGGTATGTTGGATGAAGGGTCCTCCTAATTGACTCATTTGGTACCATACATAACATAGGTTGTGGATATGGTAATTTTTGTTACCATCAACAAGCATGTAATACAGTGTTTGTGAACATTTGCTTATTTGTCATTTTCTCTGTTGCGGGTGTAGAATACAGTGAATTTTTAGATTATGAAGGAAGGTAAAGGTAAAGCTATCCCTGTAACAGGCAGTGAAGGCCCATAGGGGTGTGAGAGGTCAAGGCTCCCACATCCAGACAGTTGGCTCGTAGATGGCGGTAAGGTTGTCAGCCTTACGCGCCGGTTGCCCTTTACCCCCCAGGAAAATTCCTGGTACTCCTTTCTGTTAGAGGCTGAGTCAACCCCAGGGCCTTAGTTAGTTAGTTATTGGAGAGGGTGGGTTTCCCCATGCACTTAGACCTGTATTGGTCCATTGTGCTTCCCTCTATGATTTCTACCAGTCTCTATATCCTACCGGTACTGGTGCTTACCATCAGTCCCGCCCAGCCAGCGAGACCGGCTCTACTAGCTGAGAGGTATCTATAATGCTTCCCCCATCTACCGAAGGTATTAGAGACTGCTGTTGTGCGGGAAACATTCGTACTTTGGCTCAGTGACCTCCTTTGGAGAGATGAGGTTCTTTTACGTGCCGTAAAGCTACGACACGGGACCCACGGCTTAAAGTCCCTCCCAGAAGACTTGTTCCCTGAATTTTTCCGCCCCTAAAAATTTGACGACCTCTGCCAGGTATTTGAACCCGCATACTACGAGTCATGAGGTGGGAACGTTACCTCTAGACTACGGAGGCCGCTACCCCAGGGCCTTAGTGTGGCTGGAAGGATTAGGTCAATTGAAAAATCCAGTGACCTCATCAGGATTCAATCCCATGACCTTCCAGTTTGTAGCATGGTGCCAACCAACTACGCTACTGTGTGCCGGGTATGAAGAAAGAGTTGAGTTATTGATCTGAACTTTAATGTCAGTTTAGAACAGAAGTGCATGTGCAGTAGATGATGTGTTTTTGTGAGATTAAGCATTGCTTAATGAAATTGATATGGTACAGCTAAAATAAGTGGTATTTTATTGAGTATGTATGTGGCTGTTGAATTTGGCAATGAGGACATGACCAAGCAGGTTGGTATAGTGTTAACACTGTAGAGACTTGTATTCAGGAGGTGCTTAGGTCAAATCTCAGCCAGGACACTGGCTGTCCTGACTGAGGAAGACATAGCTCAATCTAGCGACTTGCCTTTCCCTGTTTTTAAGAAGTAATATCTGTTTGAAACAGAATCTTCCCAGGTTGTAGAAATTGCTTAGCACAGAGTGGATTCCTAGTGACTTAGCAATATTAGGGCAAAATAGACATTATATATAATTTATTTTGTTTTACTTTATGCAGGAAATTAATATGTTATATCTGCAGAAGATGTCAATACAAGAAATAATGGAAGAGCAAATCAACCCTTTGATATTGCTGACATAGTAAAATGTAGTGTAATCTTGAAGAGCACTCTTTTCTTGGCTGTGATTCTGTGTAGTTTGTTAGACATTAAAGATATTCTTCTGAAATGCTGGTACACACATACCAGACTACATGGTGTCATGTCCCAGAAAATAGTTACTGCTGTAAAGTAAAATTATCCTTCTAACAGGCCACAGATGCCCACAGGGTTGTGGGGTGTTGAGACTCCCACCTTTTTTAAACACTTAGCACAGAGATGTCAGTGAGGTTGTCAGCCTTACATGCCCGCCACCCTGTACTCCCGGGAAGTCTCCCGGTGCTCATTTTTGTTAGAGGCTGAGTTGACCCCAGGGCCATAGTGTGCCTGGAAGGATTAGGTAAATTGAAAAATCCAGTGACCTCACTGGGAATAGAATCTGTGACTTTCCAGCATGTAGTTTCAACTAACAACGCTACCGCATGTTGCCTGAGTTACTGCCGTGAGAACCTCAAATCACGCATAGTGTAATCTTGTTTAAAATGTAGATAACCAAGGAAATCATGGCTATTGGCACAATGTATTAGTTTTTTAAATGGAGTGAATGAAGGGTTAAGAGTAACAAGAATGACAAAGGAAACAGTACTAATGAATTTGTCCCTGTGCTGAATTACCACAAGATGAGGGCATGTAAGAAGAGTGAACATAAAGCTTCACGTAATCTTAAACTCTGCGGTAAATGCAGGTGAATTATCAGTGTCAAAATTCCACCACTTTATATCTGGAAAAGAGTTTCTGGTATTCACTGAGTGTGAAGCAGGCTGAGCCTCAAAATTGGTCTGGATATGACTGTGAAGAGAAAAGTCTTTATACACACATGTGCATGCATGCACACATGTAGTCTACAAGGCAAACATATTTCAGAGTTTATCAAACTCTGCTTTGCATGTAATAGGTTGATAATGATATCAGATATGTTGAATGAAAGGGAGAATGAAAGGTGAGTGGGTATTCCAATTCACAAGTTACATCCTCATCTCTCTTGAGTCAGTCACCAGCCCAATTTTCTCTGGATTATCTCTTGTGTTATTTAATGTGATTTTTCTCTAACTGCAGCTGTACTCGAGACCTTTAGCTAAGACCCCTCCTCTACAGTATTCTTGCAAATCAGGTAGCTTTTTAATTAGTTTGGGTTCTGTTTTAGCAGTAGAACCATGTGTACAGTTTAGTGTGAGGAAGCCTTCAAGGATTCTGAAGGTAGAATGTTCCGAAGGTTTTTAAATTATAGATAAACATTCATTGAGAAATGTTGCAGTATCGGGCCCCACTGGCAATGTCAAAACGTACATTGACCAGAGAGAAATATTCTCCTCTTCATGGTGGTGGGATTCGAGAGCCAAGTCCTATAAGCAGTGGCAGCTCCATGAACTGCAGTACTATATCATTAAGCAGTAGTGGTGCAGGTCAGACCATAACAGCATCAGCAATGCCCAGCATCAAGACAAGTACTGCCCGAAGCCCAGGTACTTATAGTTATATATTGCCACATAAATGAGGAGGGACAAAGGGCCAGCAATTGAAAATGGGACTAAGATGACCTTGCCAATTGAAAAGGCATTAAAGAAAGGGTTGAAAGTTGTACTGCTATTAGGAGTATCTTCTAATTGCTTTCTTTGTGTCTTTGTGTCTCAAAGATCATATGTAACTTTTTGGTCGACAAATCTGATCATCAGTGCAGAGATGAACTGTATAGAGCCATACGTTCCTTAGCTGACATAGCTGATCAACATTAAATGTATTAAAGTATTTCATGAAGTATGTACCATATCAAAAAATGTTTCTAATGACAGGTACAGATTTAAATGAACTCTTATGTACTAATATTGTATATGGTAATTTTTTGTGTGTGTGTGGATATTTCATAAAATGTGTATGAGCTTCATGTAAAGTAGGAGTTAAGTGTAACTGTGTACAGAATATTATCAGCATAATAAAATATTAACTCATTCAAGTTTGCTGAATTTCTAAATTTGATTGATTGTTAAATATAATGTCATTTCGACGTACAGTAAAACTTGGTTATAGCAACATCGGCTTCTGCGACACCTTGTCTATTGCGTCAAATATTCAATGGTACGAACTAATTCCTCATAAAGCAACTGTTTTTACACCTTGCTTAGTATGACATGCACAAATGCATCAACCTCGTATGTAACGTCATTTTCATTCCTGAATTTCTCTGATATCGTGGGAAAGTTCGATGTGTGTGCCCACCTTCACTTTTTCTACTTGCTGACGTGACTGTCCTGGAAGAATACGACCGCGGGCTGCAAGAGGAGCGTGGGTTTTATGCGAAAACAAGGGTGTGGGGTGGGACTGCGTGAATAGTGCAAGAGGACGCGGCAGGTTGTTAACTGCATTCCTTTCCTAGAATCTCGTCTAACAGGACCTCACATTGTCTACTTACC